TAATAATATCTGTCATAATAATATTATGACATTTTCATGTGATTCCACTAGTCAGACTCTCATAAGCCCTCAATTATATTGTTCTTTTTCTTTCCAGGCTCTTCCTTCTTTCTTTCCTCAAATCTATCATTATAACCAGAATGTTTCTAAAATAATAATTTGATCATAGTATGCTCTTGGTTCAGAATCGTCAACTCCATACTGCCTGAAGGAAAATATTCAGGCTCTTTAGTATTATATAAAGGCCCTTCATAATCTTGTCTCCATCCTCATTCCTGCCATTCCCCAAGGCTTCAAGTCATAAATAACTACTGGCCAAGCCTTAAATACAATAAGCTCTTTTATATCCATGTAAGTACAATCTAAGTAGCTTATGCTAATCCTAACTTCACAAGCTTCCCAGAAAAACAAGTATCTTCTAGAAAGTAAATACTGTTCAAGATCACAGCCAATGGCATGCATACCAGATCTTTATCCTGGCCACTGTACCTAAAGAAAACATCTGTGTTACTCCTTTGAACATCAACTTAATGTAGAGATAAGGCAGAAAAGGAAGGTCCAGAGAGCTTGAATTGAGCCATTTTGACTGACACCTGACCCGAACCACCCCGAACAAGGAAGTTGCTAGCACGTTACTGGCCCATGACCACCCAAAGATAGATGAATTACTAAACCAGATGCCTTATAAACTGTTTGTGCTCACCATTCTGTGACAGCAGTTTATGATTAAACTTTACAGCCTGATCACAAGACAATGCTGGTCACATATGGCTGGTTTCCAACAGAGTTTCTGACTATTTAAAAACATTACCATTGCCCCACAAGGGGTCCCCTCCTACTTGGAAGAGGACCGCTACACTGTGGAGTAGGATCTGTTGTCTGTCTTTGTCTCAATAAACTTTATGTCGCTAGTTGGCTTTCACTCGAATTCTTTCTGCGCAATGCCAAGAACCTACTTGCTGAGTTCAGGGGCCTTTCCTTCCTTCATTGGGACCCTACCCCTGCATCAAGTGTACCTTGCACAGGCATGTTCCCTTTGTCTTAAAAATCATTGCTAGGATTCTCCTTCGCCAAAATTCTACTCATTCCCTTAAGACAAAGCTGAAATATTAACACTGTGAATCCCACCTGGATTCTATCTTTATCCCAGCTCCCTCCTCTGTGTTCCCATAAAATAATCAATTATTATTGTATTTATCATCACACTGCATCATAATTATTTATTCAGAGTTCTGTTTCCCTAATAGTGATGTGAGGTCCTTAAAGACAGAAACTTAAGCTTAATATTCCTCATCTTTTTATCCCTAACACCTATAGAATGCCTACAATAAAGTAGGTATTGGGGATTTTTTCATAAGGTTTAGATCCTCATATTTTAATAAATCACCCTCCCACCCTCCCACCTTGCCTTATGTCCTGTTCCTCTGCTTAACTGCATGTTCAGATAAATTATAAACTATTCAGAGAAAAAAAACATAGAAATGTTTAACATTTGTAGATGCCAATTTAAAGCTTTCAATTGTAAGGAATTAAAAAATTTAATATATATCGAAATTAAAGTTTCAAAAAATCCAAGTTTTTCATCAAAATCTCATCATACAAAACAGTATTATCTTGGGAAGAAAAGAATATAAATTTTAACAAGTTCAACAATGAATCAATAGTTTAAAAAATATGAATAATTGTTATGTGCTAGCCTTGTATGGGAATCATCCAACAAAACATGAATTTACAATATAGTAAGATAAGTGCCATAACAAGGTATTACAGGAAACACGTAGAAACAATGCCTAACACAGACTTCCAGAGTCAGAGAGGTTCCCAGCAGAAGTGACATCTAAACTGGAATGACAATGGATGAACTGCAGTTATTAATAGCTAAAGAGTAGCTTGGGAGGAGGCTCTGCAGCGAAGAAAGAGGAAATATTTTAGGCAAAAACTATAGAGTACCAAGGCCAGAAAATGAAAGTGGATATATTCAAGTAACTTAAAGAAGTTTAATTATACTATAAGGCAGAATGGAAAATGAGGAGTAGCAAAAGATGCTTTGTGAGATGACAAGTAAAGAGCCACATGGAAGAATTTAGATTTTATCCTAAATGTAATGAGAAGAGATTGAAGGAGTTTATGCAGGTGAGTATGTGGTAGCCCCCCAAAGATGTCCACTTCCTAATCCCTGGAATTTGTGAATATGTTAACTGATAAAAGGAACTTTCCAGATAGGATTCAGTTAAGGATCTTAAGATGGAGAGATTATCCTGGATCATCCCTTGATCGCAGTGTAAACACAAGGATCCTTACAAGAAGGTGGCAGGAGGATCAAAGTCAGAGTGAGAAGATATAAGTACAAAAGCAGAGGTCAGAGTAGAGAAGATGCTATATTGTGGCTTTAAAGGTACAGGAAGGGCCACGAGCCAAGGAATGCAGGTCACCTCTAGAGAACGGAAAGGACAGCAAATAGATTTTACCCTACAGCTTCCAAAAGAAATGGGGACCTGCTGACACATTGATTTTAGTACAGTGAAACTGATTTAAGACCTCCAGAACAGAAGACAATGTGGGCTGGTCATGGTGGCTCATGTCTGTAATCCTAGCACTGGGAAGCCAAGGCAGGAGGATCACTTTAGCTCAGGAGTTCGAGACCAGCCTCAGCAAGATTGAGACCCCGTGTCTACCAAAAATAGAAAAATTTAGCCAATCGTGCTGGTGTACATCTGTAGTCCAGCTACTAAGGATGCTGAGGCAAGAGGATCTCCTGAGCCTAGGAGTTTGAGGTTGCAGTGAGCCATAACAACTCCACTGCACTCTAATTGAGGAGACAAAGCAAGACTGTCTCAAAAAGACAATGTGAAGACACACAGGGAGAACACCATATGACAACAGTGGCAGAGAATGGAGTGACAGACCTGCAAGCCAAGGCATGCCATCGACTGACAGCCATCACCAGAAGATAGGAAGAGGCAAAGAAGAATTCTCCCCTATAGGTTTCAAGAGTGTTCATTGCCCTACCAACAACCTCAATTTCAGCTTTTAGCTTCCAGAACTGTGAGACAAAAATTTTCTTTGTTTTAAACCATGGAGTATGAAGTACTTTTTTACAGCAGCCCTAAGAAACTAATATATCCCATTTGTTGTTAATTACCCAGTCTGGACAAGTCTTCCCTTCTCTGAAAATCACCATGAAGGGAAAGAATTATAAGGTATCTATGAAAAAAAAAATACAGAAAAAATGGAAAAAAATAGCATCCAGAAAATCAAAATATAAAACACCTCTGAAATTACTTACTACAGGATTCAGTAGATTATTTCAGAAAAATAGCTTCCATACAAGAATACAAAATTCACACCTTCACTATCTGCCTTTCAGAAACATGAAAAAAGTAACTAAACCAGTTGTATTTGTAAAACTAATTTGTATTTACAAAATTAGATGATACTCATTTACCTGACTGAAGTCCAAAAAAAAGTTCCTCATCTTGAAGTAGTTCTTGAACACAATCTAATCTCATGTTAATGGTTTCAGTATCAACTAGAGGTTCTAATATGTTAGAACGAAGTCTTCTACTCCCCCCAGCAGTCTTAGTATAATTTAGAACACCAAAGAGAGTGTGATTATTCCTTTGAAAACAGAACACAAGTTAGGGAATTTCATTAAGTATACAAAGCAAAATCCAAGAAATTGCATTTTAACTTCATAATTAAATATTAATAATCCTATAATCTACAGCAGTGATTCTCAAATTTGCATACAAATCACATGGGATTCTAATTGAGTAGGCCTGGGATGAGACATGAGAATCTGTGTTTTGAACAAGCTCCATCCATGTATGTTGTCAGTCAATGAACCACACTTTGACTAACATGGATGGACAATACCCCTTGTACTTAATGACTTTTTTCCGTAGGCCACTTATAATATTAATATTTAGACTAATATTTAGTCTAGACTAATATTAATATTTAAACTAATAAGTTTTCTAGTCCATGATATTCCATCAATAATAGCAAGACATCAATAATATATCCTTGAGGGGTAGAAACTTTTATATTGACAACATTAGTATTTAACATAATCACCTTATACTAATTTAAGAAGTTAGAAAGTAAAAGAATTTCATAATTTCTAAGTGGCTCCTATAAAGAAATAAGCTATTATAAAGAATGTATTTTACTAGACTATTTATTAGACAATTATGATACATGTATAAAAGTTCTTTTTAATATTCAATAAATATTTATTGAGCCCTTATGGTATTCAAAACTCCATACTAAACACTGGACATAAAAAACAGACATGATTCCTACCTTCATGGACCTTATAGTCTAGTGGTTGACTGCCAATAATTTTTTATCAGTTTTACTGGCCATGACTGAAGACAAGAAAGAGTAGGGAGAGATAGACAATAAACACATAATCACGTAAAGAAAGAAAATAATTTCAGGCACAGAAACTGCTAAAAACAACAAAAACAATAGCAATGTATAAAGAATGAGGGTTGCTTTAGTTAGGTTGGTTAAGAAACATCTCTCTGTGTGTTTGACAGTTGAGTTGAGACCTGCATGATAAAAAAGGAGGCAGCGGAGGAAAGATGATGGAATGGAAATCACGACGATTATAACGAGGGTAGCTCATATATACTGAACACTTAGTATGGACCAGGAATTGTGCTAAGCACTTTACATGTATCAACTCGTTTAATTCTAATAACCATGGTATGAGGTAGATGTTATTATTGCCACATTTTACAAAGAAAGGAACTGAACCACAAGGAAATTAAGTAATTTGTCCATGGTTTCCAATTAAGTATCACAGCAGCAATTTAAACATAGAAAGTCTGGCTCCAGAAACAGAAAGATTAAGGTTGGTGAAGCTTTGCAAGCAGGGATAAGAATAGAGGGAGATGAAAGAAGTTGATAGAGGCCAGGACATAGAAGTCCTTGTAGGCCATAGCAAAGAGTCTGGATTCTACTGTACGTGTAACGGAAGCAGGAGAGTTACAAGATCTGGATTAAAAGGATGGCACTCTGGCTACTAGGTTGAGAACAGACTAATTTTAGGAGGGTAAGAAGGCAAAGAGACAAGTTAGGAAGCTATTATGGTAGTTCAGACTAAAGATGCCGGAAGTTTGGGTTAAGGTGGTAGCCTTGGAAATGGTGAGAAGCGATCCAGAATTGGTATATATTCTGAAGGCTGGATCAAGAGGATTTACTTATGGATTCAATCTGGGGTATGAGAGGAGAGGGGAAAAAAATGACTAGTAATATTTAGTCATTAGACTACCAGATTTTTGGCATACTAATTTAAACAAATTTCTAGGGAACTGCTCATATCAACTGGCTGGGGAGGGGGAGTCTCTCACTGCATGCTCAACTTTTTACTTTTTGAGAATTTGGTTTCTGCAGGAACAAAGGATGTGAGGAGCATACACAAACCCACCATTCACTATAGTAATCAATGGATATAACGCTGCACTGAACAGGTGACAACCTATGAAAACATTAGAACTATTCAGATAGTTTAGTAGGTAGAATATCTATCTTTTAACCTGAGATTCTTTGGTTTAAGTCTGTGAAAAGACTTCTTAATTTCATCTTTTCAACCATAATATGAACTCCTGCAGGTCAGATATTCTGTCATTTTAGTCTCTATATTCCTAATATACAGCAGGAATTCAGGCAGTGCTTGACAATGATAATAATGAACAATGATGATATATGAAACATGACAAAGTAAAACTGAATATGAAATACTTTGTAATAATTACCAGGCTTGTCCATAATAATGTAGGATAATATAGAAAGTCAATGACAAAGTAATTTTAACCCATATCCTAACGGATGTGAAGTAGTATCTAACAGTGATTTTGATTTGCATTTCCCTAATGACTAGAGATGTGGAGCATCTTTTCAGGTACTTACTGGCTATTTGTTTATCTACTCTGGAGAAATGTTTATTAAGGTCCTCTGCCTAGTTTTTAATTGGACTGTTTGTTTTTTGTTTTTTATTTTCTAAGAGACATGGTCTCGCTATGTCACCCAGGCTAGAGTGCAGTGGCATGATCATAGCTCACTGCAGCCTCGAACTCCTGGGCTCCAGTGATCCTCCCACCTCAGCCTCCTGAGAAGCTGGGACTACAGGTGCATGCCACCATGCCTGGCTAATGGGTTGTTTGCTTTTTGTTATTTAGTACAAATATCTTATTAAAATTTGATTTTGGTGAAACATCTGAGCAGGTCAGGAACAATAGTACAATATTACAAATGATTAAAAATATGTTTATTCAGGACAAGTGCAGTGGCTCATGCCTGTAATCCTAGCACTTTGGGAGGCCAAGGTGAGAGGACTGCTTGAAGCCAGCGCTTTAAGATCAGCCTGGGCAACATAGTAAGACCTCGTCTCTACAAAACATAAAAAAATTAGCCAGGCATGGTGGCATGCGCCTGTAGTCCCAGCTACTTGGGAGGCTGAGGTGGGGGGATTGCTTGAGCCCAGGAGTTCAAGGATGCAGTGAGCTATGATTGCACCACTGCACTCTAGCCTGGGCAATAGAGCAAGACCCGGTCTCAAAAAAAAAAAATGTTTATTCAATATTTCTCCATCATAAGCCAGAATTGGTGGTGTGCGCCTGCAGTCCCAGCTACTCCAGAGGCTGAGGCCAGAGGATCGCTTGAGCCTAGGAGTTCGAGACCAGCCTGGGCAACATAGTGAGACCCTGTCTCTAAAAACAAAATAATCAAACAATTTAAAGAACTTTAAAGTATTTAGAGAACAATATGACATAAATATACCAACATATTTTGTAAAAAAAAATTAGATGTTCTTACCTACAGTCGTGATTATTAATTAACAATTCAAGGTTTTGGGCTGATGATGAATCTATCATGGCTGTCTGTTCACTACCCTGGAAACAAACCTTCAGCGATTTTGGTGCATAAACTGAATTTTGAATAAATTCAACATATTTTAACAAAGCTGCAACAGCTGCAAGGCAGTAATACCTATAAGGTGAAAAGAGATACATCACTATACATCCTTAGAATAAAAAAATTATTGCTATAAAAGGAAATATTTATTTCACGTTAATTTAAGGAAAATTATAAATATTTGCATGGCATTTCTTAAACTCAAAGGGAAAAGGTACACCAAGTGTTTGTTCCTTACTTTGAAAACTAGGTAAATAACCTCTAAATCATAAAAATTGATACTAATAGACAATTTTTAAAAATCTGACACGTAAAGGGATATTTGACTCCAATAAATCCCATGTTAGAAGACAACTTTCAGTGGTGATGTGTGTCAACTTTTTATGTACCATTCTAAGTATTGAAATAATATTGGGAAAGTCTGAGACTTTAAAGGTAGAATCAAGAGGTCCCAATGTATAGGAAAGTATGTTATGATCTTGGTGAGAATAACCATTGTGATTAACTGAGTAAACAGGTGATACAACCTGGCTGAAAGAAATTATCTATTTAGCATTGTCTAAGAAATATCTGTCCCAAAATATCATTCCATGTCTCATGCTGAATCTTCTAGGGGAAAAGATAGGAAGTAACAGAAACACAGCTTTACCTGTGTTTCACTTCTTTGCCTTCACATTTCTAGTTTACTGTAACCACTTGAGCTTTTCATACCAAAGTAAAGGGAGCAGCAACCCTGAGGGCAATAGATTATGACTAATTTGGAGGAATTCTATATAAATTCATTAGCAATATATGATTTATGTATGATTTATGATTTATGTATAAATTTCAGTTAACTATTTTACTATTTCAATAATTACTAAGTGTGTATTATGAGCCAGGCACTTTTCTGGGTGGTAGAGATATAGCATAGAACAAAATAGACAAAAATCCCTGCCCTTGTGAAACTCACACAAGACATTTACCACTTTTCTTAAGTTATAACTTACTTGGACTGAACCTCCATTAGGACAGTGCTGAATTCTGCTATGCATAACTGTTCAAGGTACCCTAATCCTTTTGTTTCATTGAAGTATTTCCTTTGGATAGTAGTGAAATTAACATTCTGAAAAAAATTTTGATTTCAAAATAAATGTTTAAGTGTCATGAGCTTGTTCAAAACTGCTTTCTTAAACACATGCTGGTACATGGGTA